ATCTGAACTTATCATTTGAAATTAGTTATAAAAATAATCAAATGCATTTTCGAATAAAAAAATATAATAATAATGGTATTTTTTTTAGCATTTTTAGCCTAAAAATAAAGTTTTTCAAAAAAAAAAAAAATTGATTCAAAAATTATAAAAATTAATTTTTTTATTTGACAATTTTTTTGTGGATTCAAAAAAAAAAATTTCTACAAAATACGCCTAGATTTAAAGATCTACTAATTTTTAAGAAAAATAAAAATTGCAAAAATGTTAAAATTAATAAAATAATTTAAATAATCGATAAAATTATTTTGAAGGAAATTTTTTACAAAAAAAAAATTGAATTGAAAGGTCATAAAATAAAAAAGAAAGGGAAATATTTTAACACTTTTTGAATTGTTAATTTTGTTTTGTTTTTGTTTTGTAAATATTGGTAGATTTTGAAATCCATGCGTTATTTTAAAGAAAATATTTTTTTTGAATCCATAAGAAAAATTTTCAAATAAAAAATTGATTTTTATAATTTTTGAAGCATTATTTTAAAAAAACTTTATTTTTCGACTAAAAATGCAAAAAAATACCAATTTTTCTATTTGAAAATTCATTTATTTCTTTTTCTAATTAATTTCTGATCGTAATTTTCATACATAAAAAATAAAAAATTATTATAATACTATTTTTTTTATCATTTTTGGCCTAAAAATAAAATTTAAAAAAAAAATGCTTGAAAAATTATAAAAGTAATTTTTTTCATATGTCAATTTTTTTTGAGGATTCAAAAGAAATATTTTCTTCAAAATTACGCATGGATTTCAAAATCTACAAATTTTTAAGAAAAATAAAAATTCACAAAGTGTTAAAATATTTCCATTAAACTCTTCATAAAAAATTACCTTAAAAATAATTTTATATTTATTTATTTATTTTAAAAAATTCGTATCAAATAAATATTTGTATTTAATAAATATTTTTATCCTTTAAGTTGGAGTGACGAATATTGTAAAACTTGTATTAAGTGAACAATGGAAGAAAAATAAATCTGATCTAAATATTTTTATCGAAAAAATAATGATTAATTATAAGTTAATAGTTATTAAGTTAATAATTTATGATAATAATAATAGTAATAACAATAATACAATAAATTGTATGAATAAATAAATATTATTAATGAAATAATCTCTTCGGTGTGATTTTAAAAGACAAGGCATAATAAAATAAAAAAAAGTGAAATATTCCTTTTCTAAGAATCACCATGTCAAGTGTATTTTGTCGAAAATAAAATTTCTGTTTCTAATCGTATTCAATTTATGAAATATAAAATGTGCACATGTGTTCGTTATCTCTCTCACTCTCTCTCTCTCTCTTTTTCTTGAGCCGTGCCTAATCGAGAACTAATTTACGGGCCATGGTGTGTGCGACTTTAAAAATATAAAAATGATATTTCGAAATTTTTTTTTTTTTCAAAAAATGTGAAAAAAAGAAAACAAATCAAAAAAGCAGTCAAGCATGAAAGGGAATTCTAATTTATCAAATTGCCGTATATCCTTGGCTTTAACGAAGAGCCGACTTGTTCAGGTTGGTCCATTGGAAGATGTTGGAAGATGACTTTTCTCCCTGTCTCTCTCACTGATGAGGGCGGCTGCTTTTAGTAACGGGACGCGCGTGCCACTCTCTTTCGCAGTTCACACATACATTTATAATTTTCTAAGAGTACATTATGCATATGTATATCTATGTGCCTATAGAAATATATTCATTTTATGCTAATCTTGTGGGTGTGCGAGAGAGCTGCTGACCACATGCCCTCCACCTTGTTAGGATCTTTTGTTACGCCAAGTTATCCTTGGATGCTGTTGATGGACCACTTAACTATATATATCTCTCCTTCTTCATTTTCTCATTTATATCCATCTATTCAAATTTCAATTCAATATTTTTTCAAGTTCGAGTATTTCTTTTTTTGTCTTTATTTTTAGTCCGTTACTAACTGTATGTGTATTTCAAATTTTTATATAGAAAGCAATTTCGGAGTTTTTGATAATTAACAACTAATTAGAAAAATTTCGTATTTATAGACTTCTACCACTAAGGGAAAAATCTGATTAAAATAATTTATGTTTTATTTGACTAGTATTGGAAAAATATTTATTTGTATATCAGATAATGATTTATATGTTTCAGACAAATACATATTTGCATCTGGAAAATATTTATTTTCATTATATAAATATTTATTTGTATGAGATAAATATTTTTGTGTTTTAGCCAAATATTTATTTGTATCAATATCAAGCAAATATTTATTTTTATTAGATAAATATTTATTTATGTTAGCCAAACATTTATTCTTATCCAGATAAATATTTTTATCAGAAAAATAATAGTATGAAGTAAATATTCATATCAAACAATCATAATCAAAAAATATTCATATAAGAAAAATAATATCAAATAAATATTTGTATAAAAAATAAACTCGTATCAGACAAATATTTATTTGCATCACACGTCTAAAAATTCAATAGAAATTCCATGGAAATTCTACAAGTTTTTTATTTTAATATTTTCTAAACTAAAAAAATCCAATTTCATGAAAAAGATCCTAATTTGATAATCGCCTCAAAAAATTGTTAAAAAAATGTAATCAAAACCAGCGTCGTTTTTCAAGACTCAAATTTTTTTTTGAATCGAAAATAAGTTCTAAAAAAGTTCCGAGTATTTATGTGTTTCGGGAAAAGCTCTTCTTTAATAAAATGATGCTCAAATTTGCCAATTTGATGAAAAAAGCCCAAATTTAATAATCCCCTCAAAAAATTGTTTTAAAAAAATTGTCAAGACCAGCGTCATTTTCAAGACACAGATTTTTTCTGAATCGGAAATAAATTCTTAAAAAATTCTTAAAATCTCTACTTTAATAAAAAAAAAGCTTCAATTTGATGAAAAAAGACCAAATTTATAATAATCGCCTCCAAAAATTGTTAAAAAAAAGTAGTCAGAACCAGGGTCATTTTTCAAGACTCAAATTTTTTCTAAATCAGAAATAAATTCTAAAGAAGTTCTTAGTGTTTCGTGTTTCGGAAAAAGATCTTCTTTAATAAAAAAAAATCCAAATTGATGAAAAAAGCCCAAATTTAACAAGAGCCTCTAAAAATTGTTTAAAAAAATTGTCAAGACCCAGCGTCGCATTTCAAGACTCAAATTTTTTCTGAATCGGTAATAAATTCTAAAAAAAATTTTTAATTATCTACATGATTTAGAAAAAGCTCTTCTTTAATAAAAGAAGGTCCAATTTAATGAAAAAAAGACCAAATTTGATAATCGCCCCCAAAAATTGTTTAAAAAAATTGTCAAGACCAGTGTCGTTTTTCAAGATACAAATTTTTTCTGAATCGGAAATTAATTCTAAAAAAAAGTTTAGAGTACCTCTGTGTTTCGGAAAAAGCTCTTCTTTCATAAAAAAGCTTCAATTTTACGAAAAAAGCCAAAAATTTGATATTCGACTCCAATAATTTTTTTTTAAATTGTCAACACCAGCGTCGTTTTACAAGATACAAAATTTTTTCTGAATCTAAAAAAGCTCCAATTTGATGAAAAATGTCAAAATTTGATATTCGACTCAAAAAATTGATAAAATAAATAGTCAGCACCGCAGCGTTATTTTCCGGTAATATTTATTTTTAAATATTTTCAATTATAAAACTAATATATAGAAAAATATTAAATTCTTGCAAAGAATTTTTTAAAAAAATTTGAAAATTATTGAATTCCTTCAAAGAATTCTATTAAAATTTTTGATAATCCTAATTAAATTCTATTGAAGAATTTCATTGAATTTTTTTTCAAACAAAGTTTCATTAATAATTTTAATTAAAAATTTTGAATGTAATTTGAATTTTGTGAAAAATTTCTTTCAAGTTTTATAAATAATCATGTTTGTTAATAATTAAAATTAATCATTTAATTATTGCATTTTATTAAAATTTTTAGAAAATAATTAAATTCTCCTCAGAATTTCATTAGATTTTTTTTATTATAATTGAATTTATTCAAGGAATTTTATTAATACATTGAAAATAATTGGATTCTTTCAAAAAATTTCTTTAATTTTTTTAATATAATCGATTTTCAATATAATAATTTTACTATTAAATTTTATTAAAATTATTGATAGAAAATTAAATTGTATTGGAAATAAATAAATTTCTGAGAAAAATTTTGTTATTTGTAAAAATAATTGAATTATTTTGAAGTATTTATTAAAATTTTAGAAAATAATTGAATTCTTCCGAAAAGTTTTATTAAAAATTTAAAAAAATAATTGAATTCTTTTGGGAAATTTTATTCAAATTGTATTTGAAAATAATTGAATTCGTGCAAAGAATAATAATAGTAATCTATTTATAAAAATAATTGAAGTTTTACGAAGAATGTCATTATTTATGAAAATAATGGAATTTCGGCGAAGTAATTAAAACTTTAAAAAAAAATTGAATTCTTTTGTAAAATTTTATTAAAATTATATCGAAAATAATTGAATTCGAGCAAAGAATTTTTCTATTTATAAAAATAATTGAATTTTTTCAAATAATGACATTATATTTATGAAAATAATGGGATTTTGGCGAAGAATTTTATTAAAATTCTTGAAAATACTAAAACAATAATAATTAATGACGTACTTACTTATAGAGAATTTTTTAAATTTCGAATCTGAAATTATTCAAAAATTTATATTTGAAAATAAAAAATATTGTAATTTACACAATAATAATAAATTGAAATAAAATTTTTTCACTGTATTAAATAAGTATAGAATAATATTTCATTGTTAATTTTTTTCAAATTCTTAATTCAAGTATAGAATAAAAAAATAAAGAATAGGAGACTATAAAGAAAAAAAATTAAATGAAATCGATTAAAAAAATAAACAAAAAATTACAATAATCACTTAACTATAATGAAAGAAAAGGAACTCAGATTCGGAAAATAAACTTCATGTTGAATCTTGTTTATTAAAACCATGACATTACAGTGTCGGAAGGCTTTTTTTCCACAATAGAAATTGACATATACGTACAATAAATATATATATATGCGTGTGTTAAAATTTGACAACGACAAAACTTTCTCTCATACGTGACAAAAGTTGAGAAAAAAAAATTTTTTTTTTCCTTATAAACACAAGTGTGAAATGAAATTTGTGTAATTACTAATTAATTATACATAATTATATGACAGTCAAGAAAATTTCAAAGAAAATATTTTCACAAACATAGTAACACGAAATTATTGATTTTTTTTTATATTTTAAGAACAGGAAAAGAAATATTCGTTTGACGAAAAAAAAATTAATTCTCCTGATTTGAAGATTTTTTTTTTTTTGGTTTTTTTTTACATATATACGTTTAACAACCCAGAGAAGAGCTTGTGATGAAATTCTTTACAAGAATGGCAACGCTCTCTGAAAACCTTAAGGAAATATATATCAAACAGTAACATTTTTATTTCTTTTTTTTTATATTTATTATTTTATTTTTTTTTCTTAGCAGTATTCTATTATATCGATATATTCTATCCACATATATATTTTTTATTCACAATTTTTTCCTGGGGGGAGATTTTTTCTCCTCGGAGGTTGTATAGGGATAGTTATGAGTCTTTATTTATATAATAATACTAATAATTGAAATGCTAATATTTTTTTTTATTTTTTCCTTTTTTTTTGGTAGTAAAGTAATTGAAAATAGAAAATGGAATTGAAAATACTTAGAATTATCGCACAGCCTTTAATTTTAGAAGGCGAATGTATGCATATTTTTTTTCTAAATTTTTTGTTGTGTGATTTTTTGTTTTTTGTTTTTTTTGGGAGCATTTTTTTCCTTTAAGCGGTATTGTACGGCTTTGGTAAATCTGACACCCCATTGGTATAGTTTGTGTCCTCTTCGAGTAGGGCTTTTTGCCTGTAACCAGTTTCCAAAGTGTCGACGCATGTTTCGCTCGTCAGGTCCTTTTTCCTCTTTGGCCTTCGTTTTTGATGATGATGATGATGATGATGTACTCGAAAAATGCCACCCACGTTTCTCACTCGTCTTCCATTTGATCTCCTTCGAGAGTGATCGTCAACACACACACTACATGTGTCTAAACCTGCACCCAGAAATGAATTTCTTTGAATCAACGAAGCACTTCTTCAAATAACGATCACAAAATAATTTTTTATTGTCCTTTAATGATATTCAATTTTATATTTTGACTTATTTTGTTTTTTTATTTCAAAAAAATATTGTTTGATTTCTGATTTTTAATAAAAAAAATATTTCTTGATTTTAGTAAAAAAAAATATTTTTTGATTTATTTCATTAAAAAAATATTTCTTGATTTTAGTAAAAAAAAAAATATTTGATTAATTTTAGTAAAAAAATATTTCTTAATTTTAGTAAAAAATTATTTTTTGATTTATTTTAGTAAAAAAATATTTTTCGATTTTAGTAAAAAAAATATTTCTTGATTTTCTTAATTAAAAAAAAAATATCTATTGATTTATTTTTTTAATTAGAACAAAAATTCAACGAGTTGTTTATTTTGATCGTTATTTAAAGAAATTAAATGATAAGTTTATCATTTGGTAAAAGTCCTTTTTTTTGGTGAAATATATTTGAGCCATTCATTAAATATTTTCTATAAAGTACGGGAAAAAAATGTATTAGTGCGGGGACGTGATATAAGAAACCTGTAAAAAAAGTCGATTAGTTATAATATTTAAATCTAGATTTAAATTATTTTTGACAATTTTATAAATATATGTTATTTTAAATAATAAACTAAAGTAATTTTCAATAATAGGAAATTAATAAAATAATTAATTTGAAATATTTATTTTTGTTCTTTTAGAGAGTTAATGCTGAAAGAAGAGGAAAACAAAATTATAGCTGAAAGAAGTGGAAAACAAAATTATAGCAACAGGAAATGAATAATTGTAATTCTAATTAATTTTAAATAAATAATTGAAATAATTGAAAATATTTATTTATCTTCATTTATAGGGTTAAGGCTGAAAAATGTGTAAGAGAAAATTATAGCAACAGGAAATAAGTTATTGTATTTGTAATAAATTTGAAATAAAAAATAAATAATTGAAATAATTAATTGAAAATATTTATTTATATTCATTTATAGGTTTAAGATTAAGACTGTAAAATGTGTAAAACAAAATTATAGTATCAAGAAAAATAATTTTATTTACGAAATTAATTTTAAATAAGTAAATAAAATGACTATTTTTAAATATTTATTTATTTGGGGAGGGGGGGTGTTAAAATCTGTAAGAGGTTTAAAACAAAATTATAGTATTAAGAAAAATAATTCTATTTTCGAAATTAATTTTAAATAACTAATTAAAATGACTATTTTTAAATAATAAACAAAAATAATAATTGTCAGCACTTGTCTGACCAATAATTGACTTAACTACTTAAAAAGCAAATGTCAAAATAATTACTTTTAAGTAAATAAAAAATATTCCAAAAATTTCAAATAATATTATAATAATATTATTTATTATATATTGTAATATATTATATTATATTATATTATATTATAAATTTGCATTTGCAGTTAATTTTTCAATTTTTTTGAGGCAAATTTTCGAACTTAGTTTTAATAATCTGAGAATAAAGTTTAGTATATAATTTATTATGTGATTGTGTCACTGGCAGAGGTTTAAAAAATTTTTAATGATCATCTGCCTGCAATTGCGGGGTGGCGACAAATGACATACTGATTCACTGGTGATGATTTATATATAGGGGATCATAGAACTGTTTTACATTCTCGATTTTATGCTTCTACTTTCTTTATTTATTATATATATTATTTTTTTTTTAATATCCATTTACTAATTCTAATAAATCATAATGATAAATTGTAATTTTTAATTTTTATTTATATAACGAATTGAATTTATTTTATTTTATTTATGTCTAAGTTTATAATTAATTTATAAAAATTTATAATTTATCTAATTTAACGGGAGGGTACACTGATATTTTTAACTGTATCAAGAAAATAATTTAAATATTTCATAAAATTATTTTTCAAGTACCTAATTTTTTACGAGGAATTCAATGTTCATAAAAACGTTGCCAAATAAAAAAATTAATTTTTATAATTTGTGAAGCATTTTTTTTCAGAAAAAAACTTTATTTTTAGACTGAAAATGCAAAAAATCCAATTGTTAATTCAATTCTTTTTATTAGAAAATTCATTTGTATATTTTTCTAACTAATTTCAGATGATAATTTTATCATAATTTTTTACATTTTTAAAATATAAAAATTATGATCTGAAATTAGTTATATAAATATACAAATGAAATTTCAAATAAAAAGAATTGAATAACAATTGGATTTTTTGCATTTTCAGTCTAAAAATAAATTTTTTTCAAAAAAAATTACTTTAAAATTATAAAAATCAATTTTTTTATTTGAAAATATTTTTGTGGTTTTAAAAAACATATTTTCTACAAAATTACACATGAATTTGAAAATCTGCTATAATTGTTAAGAAAAATAAAAATTCAAAAGGGATCAAAATGTTTTCTTACTGATTTTATTTTATGACCATTGAATTTCTTCTAAAAAATTTACAAAAAAAATCAATTTTATGGAACATTTAAATTATTTTCTTGATTTAGTTTAAAATATCGATGTACCTTCCTCTTAATTTATATAAATTCTATTTTTTATAAATTTTACAAAATATATAAACTATATTCTTAATTTTAATAAAAGGAAGGGAATTTTTTAAAATTTAATTTACACAAATTTAATTTGTATAAATTGAAAAAAAAGTTTATTGTATTATTATTATTATATAATGTTAATAATATAATTTTTACCCCTTAAATTTTTAATAATAAAAAAATGTAATAAAGTTCAAATGTTTTTCAAATTAAAAATTAATTAAATTCGTTTTATTTAAATTTAATTTAAAGAAATTTCATATTTATTAATTACATAATAAAAAAATTGCACTGTAAAAAATGTTTGTAAATATTTTAGAATAATAGTTTTTGTATAATCAACAAAAAGAAATTAAAAAAATATTTCTTCCACTGAAATGTTCGTTTGTCAGCGCTCGTCTGACCAATAATTGACTTAACTACTGAAAATCAAAAGTTCCACTAAAGTAATGACAGAAGTCATAATAAATTAAAATTAACTGAAAAACTCTATTTCGTTCAAATAACCGATTACTTGTCTATTATCAAATAAATATTTACTTGAATCAAAGAAATTTTCTTGTCAGTCTAATTATTCTCAATATTAACATTTATTTGTGATTAAAAGAATTAAAAGAATTAAAAATTAAAAATTAAAAATTAAATTTTTCTTATTATTTTAATTTTGCTTCCTGATGAGAAGGCTTTGTATTTATTTAATATGGTCTTAATAAATATTACACGCGTTTAAATTTACGAGACAACCAATCTACATTATTTATGAATTTATAAAGAAAATTATTTTCTTTTCTAAATTAAAAATTGTGTCATCTATATAAAATGTCTGCGACGGTAAATGACTTTTTTTGCTATACACTTAAATACACAAAATCAAGTGAAATTTAAATATTTTTCCCATTAATCAAAGTAAATTTAATTACACGCAACATTTTAGATTGCATTCGTTGATTTTAGACGCTTGTTTAATTTTTTGCGATAATTTTAATAAAAAAATAAAAAGAGAAATATGAAAATTTTTAAACACTCTAAAAATTGTAGGTTTATAATATAATAATATTATATACATAATCTATAATTATGTATAATATGATATAATTTTTAAAATTACATATAATTTCTTTGTGTTAAAAAATATAAAAATAATAAATAATACAGTGTATAAAAATAATTCTACTGGAATTAAAATATTACACTTTGTAAATATTATACTTTAACCAATTGTTACTGGAAATCAAAATGTATTACATTAAAAAAGTCATAATCTACTTTAAATGTTTTCGGTATTTGTAATCACGAATTAATTAATAATTAATTGATTTAAAAATTAATTAAATAATAATTACGAATTCCATGTTAGTTTTCAAAAATCCAAAATGGCGGATCCAAGATGGCGACTGAAAGAGTTAAAAACCACTCGGATTTGCTTGAAACTTGTTACTCGGGGGTTTTTGGGTCGCTGCGATTACGAATATGAAGTCAGAATTTTAAAATTCAAAATGGGGGATTCAATATGTCTGACGAAAGAGTTAAAAATTAATCAGATTCGTCTAAAACTTGTGTCTTGGGGATTTTTTAGGGTTTCGACTTCAGATTCGTAATCAGTGACATCGAAAGACTTCGAGTAAAAAGTTTCAAGAAAATCGTATAGAATTTTGTAATTTTTCCGACATTTTGGATCCGCCATTTTTAAATTTGACGTTGAAGGGAAAATTTATCAACGGATTTGAATTTAGCTTAAAATATATGTTAAAAAGCTTTCTTGGCCTTTTTAGGTTCCAAAAGTTGATCAGAATTTATAAAACTTTGCAATAATATTAAAAATTATTAATAAATACACTAAAATTATAATGAAAAAAATTTATTTGATTCAAATAATCGATTACTTGTCTATATTGTCAAATAAATATTTACTTGAATCAAATAATTTTTATTTAAGTCATTTAAATTGTATTTTAATCAAATAATTTTTGTTTAAGTCAATTGAATTGTATTTGAAGCAAATGCAATTTAATTGATTTGAAAAAAAATTATTTTTAATTTAATAATTTAATAATTTAATTAATAATTAATTTAATTTTTATCAGTCAAGTAATCGGTTATTTGAATCAAATAAATTTTTTCCAGTCTAAATAAATAATTATTAATATAAATATTAAATAAATATTTAATGTTAACAATAATTGAAGATTATATTAAAAATTAAAAATAATATTACATACGTCTGACATAACATTGACTGTTTCTACTGAATTATTATAATTTTGAGACAATTATAAAAGTGAGAAAAAAGAAAAAAAAATGGGTATTTTCAATTGGTAGTAGTGATGCGAAGGGTTGTAAATTGAATAACAAACATTCACCCTTCTTGACTAAATCACCGAAAATTCACCCTCCCTATGCCTTATGAGCAGTTTTACATTAACCGCACCTCCCGCGAATTGCTACGACTCCAATCTCTCCTCCCCTCCCCCCCCCATCCCCAGGAACTCTCCTAAAACCCGTCGACTACTGCTTTGCATAACGATCTTATTTCGTAATCTCTCCCATATTGATCCGGTTTACGCTACTATGTGGGGTTGAAAATTGTTTATTGCGCGCCCGTGACGACCACCTCATTTTCCATTATTTACTTTCCCTCTTTCGTATGTATTTTTTTTCTTTCTTTTTTTCTAAAAAATCTATATTTAATAATTTTATTTATCTATTTAACAGCGATAGATTTATCAAAAAGTTGCATAACAATTTGTTTTTTTATACATTTTTTTTTTGTTTTCAAGTTTTTCAATAAATATTTTAATCTTTAAAAATAGTTTTGATTTAAATAATATCTTCATCCCAGCTGAAAAAATTCTATAGAATTTCTACATGAATTCTACTAAAAATTTAGTGATTTTTAATTAGGCAGAATTTAAATTCGTGAAATAATCAATTAATAATTTTTAAAAAAGTTCTTCTACAATTTTCAAAATCCATTTATTTGCAATATTCAATTTTACAAATTTCAATTATTCGTAAATTGTTCAATTAAATATAATATTAAAAAATAAAAACTTCAAATAATTAAAAAAATGCAATTACACTTTTTCAAAAAAAAATTAATTTCAAAATTTAATTGTTTCTAAAAATTCACGCTACATTGTTTTTAATATTCAATTATTATCTAGAATTTTAACTGAAATTCATTTTTAAATCAATTTTTATTTGAAAATTCTACTAGCATCCAATTATTTAATTAAAAAAATAAATAATTTATTGGGTAGGTTCTAAAAAAAATTTTCCAGCAAGTTTTGATTTCTAAAAAAAGTTTTTCTAAGAAGTTATAATCTCTAATTATTTATTTTCCTAAAATTTAAAAAATTACATAATTTCGATAAAAGT